CAGTCACGTATGCTAGGCGTACTAGATAGTATGTTGTGCGTACGCAGTCAACATCCTGTGTTTTGGTCAAGGCCTTAGTACGTCTCGCGTACAAGCTGAGTACACCCATCATACTCAGCTGAGTTGACTCAGGTTCACTTTTTGACTTTTTGGCATTTACCAGGATTTGACCAAGTTTGACCTAGGGGTATTTTGGGTGTTTTGAGTTGTAATTGAGATTGGTCACTATTTGATGAATATGTGACGGGTAGAGCTGATATTCAGAGCAGAGACCTATTCAACTATTTGTTCAGACGTAGAGGTGAGTTTTCCTCACTTTAATTATGATTCGAAGGCACCAAGTCCGACCCATTGGAATTTGTATCCTGTTTTATTGTGAGCTGTTATGTTGAGATATGTATTCACTGATTATGTGGTTGGACTGGTAAATCGGTAAGACTACATGTGTTTGTTGATTATTGTCTGATATTGTATTGTCGACATGTTATGGTTCGTTGGGTTGAGGTGAACTAGCTGCAACTGAAGGCCAAGACACCCAGGGTTGCCCAGATAGACTGAAGGCCTGCGAGGCGGTCCAGTTAGGCCGAAGGCCCGAAGAGCGGTCCAGATAGACTGTAGGCCGGTGCGGCGGTCCAGTCAGGCTGAAGGCTTATGTAGGCATGTTGTTGTTTGTATGGTTGTGTGTGGTCTAGTCAAGCCAAAATCGTGATCGTGCACATTCCTTCGGATTTTATGTTATTGGATTCTGGGATACTCTGATTTATGAGTTATACATTTAAAATAATGTTTTGTAAACAATTTTGGTGTTTGGGTTGTTTTTGAAAAACAAAAAATTTACTTTGGTTTTTGGATGTTACACAAATGCTCATTTCTTCACCAAAAACTTACTCAAAACTACAGAACATGGTAAGTACACTAAAATGGGCTAGCGTTTTCACTTTTAGAGGCAGGGGCTAAAAAATGAGAGCAAACCTTAAATGTTACCTTCTTTAAATCGGGTCCAAAACCCAAGACCTATGTTTTGGGATATGGCGGCCACATGCCACTACCCACACCTGGTTGCATCGCTACTTATCAACTTGACTTGCATTGTGAAAACCAAAGCATGCTGTCACGACCCAAGTTTTTAGACGTCTTCACGATCATCTAGAGAACGTTGGAATGATAAAGAATAATCGAGGAGTCTTCAGAGAGATCAAGAATCTCCTACGAGACCCTGGAAGACGTTAGAATATTATAGAAGTCCCTGGTATAAGATGGAACGACCCAGAGTCATTTGGAAGACGTTAGACGAAGCTAGAATGACTCGGAAGACTTTTGAACGATCTAGAACTTTTTTAGATCATGCAAGAGTGACTTAGATGATATTGGAACGTCCTAGAAATCTCTAAGACATCGTATAATAGTATGACATATTTAAATCCTACAAGCTTTGAATTTGAAAAAAAAATGTATTTCAAAAGAAAAATACATGGGGACACTGCCCAAATAAAAGGAAGATACTAATTGCGATGTTATGATGCTTTGGAGTCTATAAAAGAGAAGAATTACAAAATCTTTAAAAGATTGGTTTCCTCCCCAGCCAAAGTTGTTGATACTATAATTGCTTTGGTGTTTATGTGGTTCAAATAATAAGGGAAAAAATTAGAAGTGTAATCGGATCTTGGCATGTGTGTTTCTGTGAATGATTTTCTCGCGGGTTCTAAAATACGAAATTCTGCCTTAACTTAGGTTAAAAGCTTATACGACTCACACTTCGTCCATATGGACTATATCAAAAAATAATAATAATAATAATAATAATAATAATAATAAATAAATAAATAAATAAAAACCGGTTTAATAAGGGACATGAACTCTATCGGGTTGACCCATGACTTTATGACGTTCATGAACCACTGAACTTGAAGTCAGGAACCAATGGCTTTCTTCCACGTGTCCACAGATTACGGGATGTTCATTATGACTCTAGTAGCCATAAAAACACTACTGTGTTTATTTATTTTTTGACGATAATGGTGCACAATCATATCCAAAACCAGACCACAGAAGAGTGACACGTGTCAAAATGGATATCACCGATTGTTTTTGCTTGATTAAATTCATAGACTGCCATCATCAGCTCCCATTCAGGAGTAAGAAGAATTCAAGAAAACAAAAATGGCAGCCGCAGCCATCTCCACCTCTCTTAAACCTCAAACCTTCTTCCGTCACCGGCCTCCAGAAGCCGGCGGCGAAAGGCCTTCCTTCACTTACCAGAACCTCCTTCAAGATTCAAGCCAGCGGTGGCAAGAAGATCAAAACCAACACGCCTTACGGTTACTCTCTCTCTCTCTCTCTCTCTCTCATATATATATATATAATATATATTATATATATATATATATATATATATATATATATACAAAGGAAGTGATGCTGTAAACGACGTGGTTTTGTTCACAGGAACTGGAGGAGGTATGGCACTGAGAGATGGTGTAGATGCATCCGGAAGGAAGCCAACTGTAAGTTGTTCGCTTCCTTGTGGCCTCATAAGACATAAAACAATTAAACTAAAGAATACCAAAAATACCCTTTAACAGAGAAAAACGACTCCCATATATATCATATAGATCAGCTAATGAAGCGTTATTTGTATTCAGGGAAAGGGTGTTTACCAGTTTGTTGATAAGTATGGTGCTAATGTTGATGGATACAGGTATAAGTTAATAAGAGATAATTAATTTTAATTATGAAAATGCATATATACCTAGAGAGCGTGTAATTAAATTTACAATTAAAATGAAAAACTATGTACATAAAAAAAGTTGTACAATAGTTATTTGTTTGACTTTGATGAACTTATTCCACAGAAAGAGCTCTAAATAAGCTCCTATATATTAATTGTGAATGTTCTTAATTAATCCATTTGGATAAATACCAAAATAAGTTGCTATTTTATGACCTAGCTAATTATTGTGGTAATCTAATTTCCAAGTATTCTTTATAATATGCAGTCCTATCTATAATGAAGACGAATGGGCACCAAGTGGTGATGTCTATGCTGGGGGTAAGAACTAAAAACTAAGAAAAAAAATCTATAGTTCTATACATCTTTCATATCATGAGGTACAAGTCCTTGAAGCGTTCCTGCTTTAAGTTCTTGTACCTTAATTGCATGGCATTCTTTTTAATTAATTTGTGGGTATAATCTTGTTTTTGAATGCAGGGACGACAGGGTTGTTGATATGGGCTGTTACCTTGGCTGGAATTCTAGGAGGAGGTGCTCTTCTAGTCTACAGCACAAGTGCTTTGGCACAGTAGAATCAATCTATGCTTCTGTATGTTTAATATTTCTTGTATTTTCGTCCATTTTATGGAATTGTTTAAGTAAATGTGTACAATATAATACATCAAATCTTGTTCTTGTTTACTAATTCCTATGTTTATGCATGCAACCAATTATGCTTGTATGATTTTGCCACTTTAATCTTTATTTTGCACTAGAAAAGTGTAGACCCTAAAAATCTAGGTTTGTTTGATTTGATGGAATGAGACTACAACTACAAAGATATAGGATTAGAATTAGAATGGACATTTAACATGGAATGGAATGGATAGTTATTCGATGATCATGTATTCATGTTTTGAGAAATAAAGTATCATATAATTTGAGTTACCAATGTTACCTGTTTTGTTAGAATTATCATGAAAGTATTTTTTTATTTTTATTTTTATTTTTTTGTATTTGTACACCCATATTTATTTATTTAATTCACTATTTATACAATTATGATATGTTATGGTAGGTTTAGTCGGCTTTAATACTTATATATTCTAAAATGGTAGCTAAATTTTTATTTGTATCGTTATTCATTACATATATTTATTATTAAAAGTAAATAAATAAAATAAATATTAATTTTGTGCTTTCATATCTTTTTACATTCCTAGGGTCCATATAAACACAATTTTAATTTTATTTCATATCATTTTTATTTGATGGTTAGCCTAAGCAAAAAAATATTATATTTTTGCTTTTTTTTTAAATCTTTTTGTGCCTGTAAGCAAAAATTGAGATTATAAATCCAAAAACTTCTAACTACTAGAAAATCATAATCACACATCAAATATATGAATGATATTTGCAAATCGAATCGAAGATGTTTCTTCATCCGAACCCAAAATTGATTGGAGAATTCAAACAATGATGACAGTTTAGAATTTTCTTAATTAAAGACTTTAAATTCAGACCATAGCTCTAGACCTGCAAATTCGTGTTTTCGTGTAGTTAGACATGTCAGACACTTATAAAACGTGTTTTTGACAGTAAACATGAACACGACACATAATTAATTTGTCACGTGACACGACACGAATAGACACGTTTTTAACCGTGTTATACGAAAACATGAATTTATAGACATGTTGTCTAATACCATTTTTTAGCAAGAAAAACATGCATTTAATTCGTATATATGTTTATCGTGTGTCACGTGTCTATACGTGTTGCATGTCACACAAATTTAATTCATGTCTTAATACATGTTTAAACAGATACATTCGTGTTTGACACAAAACACAAATTTAGAATTCATGTCAACACAAAATACAAATTTCTAAAACCCAATGTCGTGTTCATCTATCAAATTGCCAAATCTAGCTCCTAAACTTCATTTTTAGCCCAGGGTGAAATTCAACTTTTTCTTTTTTAAAATTTCTATTATAAATAATTTTTTTTGTTTACCAATGCTATTATATACATTATATAATTATAATAACAAAGTTTTAATTTACAAAAATAAAAAAGATTAAACATAATAAAAAGAGAGCAAATACGGTTTACCTGGTCTTCTATAAGAATAGAAGAAATGATATAACAATGGAGGTTTAAAATTACAAAATCAAAAGTCAACTATTGATAGGGAAATCACAAAATTGTCAGAAACTATTTCACATCTAATATGTCATTAGGGACACATTCAAAGCACATAAACCAGAAAGTTACATATAAATGTCAACTCAAAATTTAATTTATACCCACCATGTTTTCTCTCTTAATATATTAATAATATTGGGCATAAACCAAGGTTTAAAACATGTACGATTTTTTTAATGAAAAAAAAAAGGATTACAAAATGTTTTACAATTTTTATGTGTTAAACATATTTCATTGTAGCTCTTCAAGTAATTCATCTTCTTCATGGATTGGTGTTGAGTTTCGGGCATATGAAGTAACTGCTTGCCCATTTCCATCCATCATTGCTGACCTCACAAGCTGCATGACATAAATAATATTAATCATGCATGGATGGAATGGAATCAGGAAAGAATGGAATGGAATAAGTGATTACATTCCATAATCACGTATTCACGTTTCGTTGGTCTTTGGAAGTAATCAAATAAGATGAATATTTTGTATCATATGTACATACAACGTATAGTTTTATGAACTCTTCAACCTTTACACTATTTAAATCCAATTAAGGAATTCTTTATTTACAAGAATTATTAATAATAAATACCTTTTCAATCTCATCACAAAGAGGAAGGTTTTCTCTCAAATACTGCAATGCCCGATCTCTTCCTTGCCCCAACCTTCATGATAATCAAACACGAATATGAGAAATAGTAACCTACTTTCATTCATCTGTATATATATATATATATATATATATATATATATATAAAGAGTTTAGAAGACAAACCTTTGATCTTGAAAGCTATACCAAGAGCCCTTTTTCAACACAATGTCCATCATTTCAGCACAATCTAATACGCATCCCTGTATATATAAATAAATTTAATAAGTTTAATAAAATTATGCAAAAATAAAAAAGATGAAGATGAAACTAACCAATTTGCTTGCTCCCTCTCCAAATATAATTTCAAACTCTGCTTGCTTGTATGGCCTAGAAACCTACACAAAATATTTAAAAAAATGAAAATTTTGTTTTTAATATATAAAAAGCACAAAAAAAAAGATATTACTTACCTTACTCTTCTGAACTCTTACTCGAACCTTAAGCCCAATGTCCTCGTCACCTTTGACCTGTGAAAAAGTCAACTCATTAAAAAAATAATTTCAAAAAATCAAAATGGTATTAAAAAATTTATATATGTGCTTACTTACAGACTTTATCTTCCCTATAGGCCGTATTTCAAGTCGAACAGATGCAAAAAACTTCAAGGCAATACCTCCACTTGTAACTTCTGGATTTCCATAATACACTCCAATCTGATTTATTTTTTCAATTTTATAATTAAAAAGAAAAAATAACATAAAAACTTGATTATTTAATGAAAGAAAGATTAAAGTGCAGAGACCTTGTATCTTATTTGATTAAGAAATATAAGTGTGCATCCAGCTTTTGATGCATTGCCTGACATTTTACGCAATGCTTGACTCATAAGCCGTGCTTGTAAACCCATTTGTTGCATTCCAATTTCGCCCTTCATGAATAAAATAATAGTAACAAATTTTAATCTTTTGTAAAAACCGAAAACCACATATATAGGTTAGGTATTGTTTCTTTCTTTATCTGGATATAGTGACTTTATGGACTGAATATGAGTATTTCACCCTTGTATTTAGAAATGAAAAATTATTAAACAAATTTCACAGTTTATACCAATTATCAAACAAATCTGAGCCTAATATTAATAAAATCAAAAATGTAAACCTAAACCTAAAAAGAAGGTAATAAATTTTTTTAATCAGTTCCACAAATGTAAACATAATCATAACAAAAATGTAAACTTAAACTTTAAAAAAAAAAAAAAAAAAAAAAAAACTTTAAAAAAAAAAAAAAAAAAAAAAAACATGACCAGTTTCACAAATGTAAACCTAATAATAAAACATAAACCTTATAGTATTATTAAATGTGAAAATGTAAACTTAAACTTACTTCAATTTCAGCACGTGGAGTAAGAGCTGAGACAGAGTCGATGCAAATGAGATCAACTGCACCAGATCTACACATGCGGTCTGCAACTGAAGGAAGAAAACTAAAAAGTTTTTATTAATTAATAATAATAAAATAGAGAAATTAGGGTTTAAAATGGGGTTTATTTAGTACTTTCTAGTGCCATTTCTCCGTTGTCTGGTTGGCAAACAATGAGATTTTCCACATCAACTCCTAATGCTTTGGAATATGATGGATCAAATGCATGTTCTGCATCTACAAGCATTGCATTCCCTCCTAGCTTCTGAATCCATTCATAAAAATTATAAAAAAATGATTCATTTTTTTTTAAACCAAAAATAATAAAAAAATAAAAGACCTGCACTTCTGCAATGGCATGTAGTGCTAAGGTGGTCTTTCCACTACTTTCAGGCCCATAAATCTAAAACCCAAAACACAGAATATGAATATTAATATTAATATTAATATATTATCAGATTCTAAAAGAAAATTAGAAAACAAAAATCAATACCTCTACAATTCTCCCTTTAGGTAGGCCACCACCTAATGCAAGGTCTAAAGGAAGACAGCCACTTGGGAATGTTTCACTGAAAAAGGCATAAAATCATTTCCATAAACAATTCTGATTTATACAAGATTAAGAATGTAATGTGTTCTGGTTTTCGGTTCAAAAGCTTTTAGAATGTGGTTTTTTGGAAGGCATTTATGTCTTTTGTCCTAAATAAGAACATACACAAGAGCTCCACCAAGGCTTCCAAGTCTCGTCACGCTTCCTTTCCCGAATGAGTTGTTGATATCATTCATTGCAGTTTCCAATGCTTTTTGCTGCAAATGCAACATGCTGAATACATTATTCTTATCATGCATCCTATTACAATGTTTTTCCTACATATATCAATATCACTACTTGATGGAATCAAATTCTACTCATGTGTTTGTGATTTCAGACATAGGGAATAATGGGCTTTTAGTTAATAAATAGGTTTAATTAAGAAACTAATGTTTAATTAAACCACATCTCTATATGTGCCCCACATTGCCTAGATTTGATGTTGGATGATATTGGCAAACAAATTCCTAGGGTGAAAATGTATCAACCAAGTTCATTTTTCTCAAATGGGTGTATGTATGTATATATATATATATATATATATATATATATATATATATATATATATACCCATTTGAGAGGAAATGACCTTCTTTAATGCATTTTTCACCATAGGAATTTGTTTGTCAATCTCCTCCAACATTAAATCTAGGCAATGTGTGTCACATGGTATCTAATAAAAATGTGGTTTAATTAAACATTAGTTTCTTAATTAAGCCTTATATAAACCTATTCACCATGGCCCAACTAAAGTAAAAGCCCAATATTCCCTAAGCTCGCTTAAGCCCAATGAAATTTAAAATTGAGAACTAATATTCATTAACCTAATTTGAAGAAGAAAAAAAAAAGGATTCATCGCATGAATGGGACAAATTAAGAATTTTTTTTTGGGTACGTCATGCATCTCTATGGCCATTAGATGCCAAGTGCTAACATAGTTAAATTAGGGCATACCTTTAGCACACACGAATTTGCAATTTAGGTCACTACTATACAATTCTTACCTGTGTTCAGCTAAAAAGGATAAAACACACAAGTTCTTTAAGGACATCCCTCAATTATAGAACAATAGCTTTACTATTGATATGGATATTATTGGTCCAATTAAAGAGTGTATTTTCGTTTTTGGTAAACTAACAAAAAATACCATTAGATTTCTCATCTTTTAGGGCCAAAACATTCTGATTTGGGTATTATTGTTGTTGTTAAATGAATTGCAGAAAAGCACCACAATAGGGAAAAAAATGTACAGATTCTTATGGCTACTGAATTCCAAAAAGTAGCACTTTCGATTCTTAAAGGCAAAAAGAAGAAAACTATCAGATAACTAGAAAAATACCAGATAGTTAACTCATATATGTTGTGGGTAAGCTAAGAAAGAGGCGAAAATTCACAACCAAAGTTATCGAACAAGTTCATTATGCATCGCTCATAGTATTTATATATAAAGCGTCCTAACCAATTTAGTGCACTATTAAGCTATAGATTATGTTTTGTGGAAATTCTTTCAGGAACTTGAATCTAAAACTCTAAAATTATCATCAATCCATCATAACTAAGTGAAGAATAGAAGATCAAATATTCCACTCCAAAGCTTCATCAATTCCGTTCTACTTGTTATACAACTTATTTTTATCAAATCTTCTAATCTTACAAGAACTTAGAATATTATACAGAACTAATATCTTCTCAAATCATTAATGATAAATGTCAATTTTGGGTCTAGCAAAATGCATAGCGATGTTAAACATCAAGCAAAAAAGATTAAAGAACATACCCTGTCCAGAAAGCTAGAATCAGGGTCAGATGAAAGAGCACCATTGACTCGAGAATCAAGATTGGAAATAACCCTTGTTTTTTTGGCGGCAAACAGAGATATTGAGCGGGTAAAATTAAGGGTTTTGGATTGAAAGGAAGAAAGAGGTGAAGGTGAAACGATGGATTGCTGATACCGCTGTAGTTGGGAACCAAAGCAATGGGGTTTTGAACAGAACACCATATCCATGGTGCTTTTAGAGTTTAGACTGAACAGAATTTATGGGGAGAAATATAAATTATAATTTGAATTTGGGAAAGCAAATATGGAGAAAAATGGTAAACGTAGGTAAAAGAGCAACATTAGCAGAGACGCTATAAAAGTTGGGCCCTGTGGAAGTTGGGCCAACAATAGTGGCCTCCTTTAATGGCTAAACAGTACAATGCCCCGTCCTAGAAACAAATTGTATAATAAAAATATATTAACAAAATTGAAAAGATGTAAAAACTTTAAATAGTAATCTTCGTAAATGTTCTTTATGGCTTTTAGAAATATTTAATGTCTAATTTTTTTAGGTCTTAATGTCATATATAGAAGGTCTTTATGGTGCTAATTTGTATCGTGGTTGGTCTTTCATTAATATATAAAGACTTATGTCATTTTTAATTTATTTTACATTTGTTGTAAATAAAATTAGGGTTAATGACTTAGGAGGGTAATTAGGTTTACAGTTTGTCCGCATTAGGTCACTAAGGTTTTTTTTGTGCGCATATGGTCACTAAGATTGTTATTACCGTTTAAAAATAGTCATTTTACCTGTTTAACCGGTTACAAAGTGAATACATGTTATATACAGGGTGTTACGTGGTTATTAGGCCATTACGTGGATTATTAGGTGGCATTTAATGTATATTTCATCTCCTTAAATTAGGGCAAGACGAATCCCCAATCACTTTCTCTTCACTCTCACTCGATCGTCCCCACCCACTGTTCTTACTTCGATGGCTGAAGATGATACACCCGTCGTTGAAGTCCAGTACAACGGGATGTTCATCAACAAACCATTTATCTATTTTGATCCAGATAAAAAGGAGATAATATACGTCGATTTCAGGGAGAAGGGGTATGTTGAATTCATTGCTCACCTCAACGTGATTACTAGAAGAATGTGCAAAGATGTATACTATTGTCCAGATGGCCAAACATTGTGTCAAGGATTGGCTACATTGCAGAACGAATGTGATTACCATGAATTTCTTGAGTGTCTTCATGAGAAAAAGAAAGTAACTGTGTATGTGGACCATTTTCATGAACCCCTGTTTGACTGGATTGAAATGGAAGAGCCTGAAGTTGAAGATGATACCAACTCCAACGCAGATGAAGATGTTGATTCAATGTTACTAGATAAAGAGTACTGGGAACACGAGGTGGATGATGAGGATTTTTCGATGAAAAGGGCAACATCAACTATTCATAAGAAAGACAGGTTTTTGAACAAACTTTGCCTAAATGTTGAAGAGGAAGAAGAGTCTAAAGTTGAGCAACTACCACCTGTATACCCTGTGCACAATTCTGAGCAACAATGGGATGAAATGGCTCTTGTGTTAGGTATGAAATTCACCAATTCTGCTGAACTTAAACAATGTCTTACCAACTATGCTGTTAAGCATGGTTATGATTTGTGGTATGAAAAGAATGATAAAAACAGACTTTTAGTGAAGTGTTGCAAAGTTAAAGAACCTACATGTCCTTTTCGGTTGTGGGCTTCTTGGATGCAAGAGGAAAGGATTTTTCAGATTAAGTCACTTATATCAAGTCATAACTGTGGTAGAGTTTTTAAAATAGGGTTAGTGACTTACAAATGGATAGGGAAACAATATTTCAATGTACTTCTGGAAAACCCCAGGCTTAGTTTGAGGAAGATGAAAGCTCAAATCTCAAGCACATACAACATCATAGTTAGCATTGGACAATGTAGAAATGCAAAAAAGTTTGCATTGTCTGAGATAGAAGGCACTCTAAAAGAGCATTATAGTAGGTTGTGGGACTATGGCATAGAAATCAAAAGAGCTAATCCAGGATCAACTGTGAATATGGAAGTTAACCATACCCTTGATGGAAGTCTAATGTTCAAACGGTTGTATGTATGCTTTAAAGGTGTAAGAGATGGTTGGGTAGAAGGATGTAGACAAATCATTGGGATTGATGGATGCTTTCTCAAATAAATTTGCAAGGGTGGACTCTTAGCTGCCGTGGGTAGGGATGCCAATAACAACATGTTCCCCCTAGCTTGGGCTGTTGTAACTGTTAAGAACAAAGAAACTTGGAAATGGTTTCTTGATCTACTAATGCATGATATTGACAGAGGCAATGGAAATGGGCTTACTCTTATATCAGATGGACACAAGGTACTACTCATGTTTACTCTTAACTTTATAGTTTAATTATTACTTAATATTGTAAATTGTACATGGTTTAATTGAAGCTATCAAGGAAAGGGTTCCTCATGCTAAGCACTGATTATGTGCTAGGCACATACTAGCCAACTTCAACTCCAGGTTCAAAGGTGAGAATTTTATCAAGCCATTTTGGAGAGCTGTGAAGGCTACCACAAAACAGAGACATGAAGCTGCTATGCAAGAGATCAAGGAATTAGACAGGGGGGAATTTGATTATCTCATGGAGAGGGACCCTAAATGTTATTGCAGGGCTTTTCAAGAAGGAGTATTTTGTAATGCTGTGGAAAATGGAATTTCAGATAGTTTTAATGTTGAAATAGTTGCGGCTAGACATAAACCAATAATAGCAATGTTGGAGGATATAAGGGTTTATGTGATGCAGAGGTTATATCATCAGAGGAGTAAGGGAGAGTCTTGGGATTTAACTATATGCCCAACCATTAGGAAGAAAATAATACATTTGAAGGAGAAACAAAGGTAAGAATGTTTGTATTTACTTGTTAATGTTTATACATGTGTTCATGTGTTCTTACCTGTTTAATGTTTATGTACAGATTCTGGGCTGTGTACCCTTGTGGGTATCAACAATTTGAGGTGGTATTATGTAATGACAGGTATTCAATTGACCTGATCAGAAGGACTTGTGGATGCAGGAGATGGAAGTTGACTGGAATACCCTGTGTACATGGAGTGGCTGCAATTTCATCAATGAACTTAAACTCAGAGGAATATGTAGCTAGTTGTTATAGTAAGGCAACTTATCTCACCTGCTATGCATACATTATTCATCCTTTGAATGATAGCTCTTTATGGGCACAAAGTGAGTACACCAAGCCTTTACCCCCAAAGAGTAAAAGGCTACCTCGTAGGCCATCTACTAAGAGGAGGAAAAGTGCAGCAGAAAGGGAGATATCAAGCACACACACAGTATCAAGAGTAAAGCAGGTGCAAAGGTGTTTAATATGCTATGTTAGTGGGCATAAAAAAAATGGGTGCCCAACAAAAAGAATTCCAACAACAGGTGATCCTGGATCTTCCACTCCAGCTCCAATTCCAACTCCAGGATCCACTTCTGCAACTCCAAGATCCACTCCTGCAACTCCAAGACCAAGATCTACTTCTGCAACTCCAAGACCAAGATCCACTCCTTCAACTCCAAGACCAAGATCCATTCCTGCAACTCCAAGACCAAGATCCACTTCTGCAAGACCAGTTCAAAGTGCAGTTCAATTGAGAAAGAGGAAAGCTTCAGAAAGAATCACCAAACTGTGTGTGAGGAAAAAAGTGGTGGCCAAGGATGGTAGTGGTTGTAGTTCAGAGAAACCTGTAGATTTGTCTTGATTGTGGGTTTGATGTTGAACTCTTTTGTTTTCTTATGTATGCATGTGGGGTGTAAGTGTTAGGTAAGCATGTGATGGTCGAATCTTTTGATATAAGATGTAATATTGTACTAGACTAAGGGACAAAACTATCCAGCTTTTGATGCTCTTTTGATGCTGAATGGGACACCTTTTTAAGGGTGTTTGTTTGTTGACAATATTACCCTTTAATATATTTTCTGCTTTAAATCCTTGAACTGATTCTTGGTTGTTGAATCATACACTTTACAGATGTACTTTGCCTTCAATTTGGTTGTTCATTATAATTACTGGCATTGGTTGTTCACTATAATAGCATTTTAGATTTCAATACACCATATTAACATTACAATTATAGATTTCATTACCAAAAGCTTCATTTGAATTCATACATATGATTTCATTACATTATAGGTACCCTTACAATCAAAATAACAAAATTATGGGTACCCTTTATATTCAAAAGATGGCTACTGCATCATAATTCCATTCAATATAACTTAACAAAGTACAATACAAACAAGACAATCAAAGCTACTTTATGCCATTTCATCTTCTTCTTCATTTCATTCAGCTCATGACTAAGACCCAAAAGCTCCTCTGTGACCGGATCTTCAACAACCCATTCCCAAAATCCACACTTTCTCCCTGCTCTCTATAAAAAAATGAAAAAGAACAAAGCTTTAGAATAATGCCATAACTTACACACTTATAACAGAGATTTAAAGAGTGAAAAGCTTCAATCTTCAAGATTGGCCATTACCAACGAATTAGGGCACGTTCTAAACCTTTTCCCCGGATTTTGTGGTGTCGCGGAGACTCGAATCCGACTCGGGAGCCCACAGTAGCACATGATTCGGTTGTTTGAGGTGGAGGCGATGGAGGCTTGCGACATCTTTTTCTGTTCTTCTTCAACTCTTCAATTTAGGGCACAAAAAATATAGGGTGGTTATAGGTATGCCACCGGACATGTAAGCTGCCAACTAAGCTAAACAGGGAGAAACCGGTAAAAAAAACTATTTTTAAACGGTAATAACAACCTTAGTGACCTTATGCGCACAAAAAAAAATCTTAGTGACCTAATGCGGACAAACTGTAAACCTAATTACCCTCCTAAGTCATTAACCCATAAAATTATTTAAAGAAAAAACAATAACACTCCCACCTCATCTTAGCGTCTTCTTCCACAACCCTAAATGAATCAAAATCACATTTCTAACAATCATCAATGTCGGATTCGATATCCGGAAGGAAGTAGTCATCGTCAAGGCGGGAATCGTCGGCCTCTCCACCGTTGTGTTAGCTACATAGGCTCGACCGATGAAATAAATTCACCCCCTCTTCATTCTTCCCCACCTCGTAGTCTACAGATAAATTCAATAGTTTTAAACTTGTGATTTCTTTGAAAATTTTATTCATATAAGAATATTATTTTTGTAGGCAAAATATCGAGAATGTGAACAACAATAAACAGTAATAATAAGCTTTTAAGAAAAAGCAAACAATGTCGTAATGTTTGTTTTCGTTATTATCTGACCGTCAAACGAGATGTCTTCTACATTGACTAGGTAAAAACATCAGATATTATGGGCATTGATTGGAGTTAATAACAAAAAATTGTTGCATAATCTCAGCCGAAAGATGGTGATCAATTTAAGTTAATCACAAATAAACATCAGTGTGATAAATTATTTACATAATTGATTGCAACAAATTCGTTTTCGAATAAGTATGAACAAATGAATGATTTAACAAAAAAATATAAATCAAAGATGAGCGGTTGCAAACAAGAGATCAAATGGTAATGCAGGGTGTTTGGCCACACTTATTTAAAATGATAAACATTTTTTAACTTATAGCTTATTAGCTTATAACGGTGTCAAAACGTATGTAACGTCCCATTTTCTCAACAATTTTTTTCATTTTTATTAAGGTAAAATTCCCAATTTATTAATCCATTATTTAAAAAAAACATTTATTTGAAATTACATTTGTTAATGTCAGAGTATTATAGGAAACACAGAATCTTCAAGTTGCTGATGAGTGTATACAGTTCCGCCTTTGCCTTCCCGCTATCATTGATGATACCTGAAACAATAAACAATTGGGTAAGCATAAATCTTAGTGAGTTTCCCCCAAAAATACCGCATACTAAACACAACATATAACGGCCCCCGCCCAATGAGTATAACGGGCCCCGCCCTAACTCGCATAACGGGCCCCGCCGACACTCGCATAACGGGCCCCGCCCACTGAGATATGGGCCCCGCCCACACTTGCATAGCATAAACACATAGCAAATAATTATATAACATGCAAACACATGCCATAATCACATAGGTAAATAGCATACAGACTAGCCTTCGGGCCCCGTCCGACATCGGGTCGTACCCGGTAATCATAAAAACACATATAGATAATTGCATTGAAAATACTCATCAGGCCGCGCCTGGCATCGAATCGTACCCGGATATCATAAAAACACATACAGTTCTATAGTTTATTACAACAAGCAGCATACTCGATACCATAACACAGATCTAACATATCACTACAACATAACAACATACTCAATACCGGAACACAGATATACCAGATTACTATAGCATAACAGCATACTCGACACCAGAACACAAATCTAACAGATCACTATAGCCTAGCGGCATACTAAAAATCAACAATCCAAGGAATGCATGGCCGAATATACTCAGGAGTGAGATAGTGTCACACCCCCGAACCGGGATCGGAAACGTCTGGGGCGGATGACTTCATGTACAATATCATAACAATTGAATATAAATGAAACATAACATCACAACCATTACATTGAATGTTTAATAAGATTACATTGTGTTCAAATATTGTTTACATGACATCAGATGCATGTGACAAAAATTAAGGAAATGATGTGACGACATTCCACCCTCCAAAATTCTTGTGATTACCTGTTACTAATTTCCTGAGAATACAAGTGATTTTGAAAAGTTTCAACAATTAAGTTGGTGAGTTCATAAGCATTTTGTATGAAAAATGGTTTGTAAATGTTTTGTGAAAATGATAGCGTATACTTCCAGAAAATCCAATATTTTCTTAAAAATGAGTTGTAAGTCTTAAGTACCAAGACTAGAAATGTAAGTAATATTGTACTTGTGAAATGATGTAATGAAGTTTTATCTTTATATAAAACTATTTGTATGTTACCCCGTAAATAAATGTGTTGTTGATACCCTATGTGAGTTATTATAACCATATTAATACGACTAATGGCCTGAATGACGTGCTTCGGCGTCGGAACTGTTATGACATTTGTCACCCCAAACCTACCGGTTTAACTGTAGCTAACAATTTAGGTGAGGGGTTATCAATCTCGTATAGATTTATACACAAGTGTCACGTTCTCCCTACAAGAGACTCTGGTTATAAATCATGACTTTAACGTGTACTCTGGTGGGTACTGTGAAGCTAACTATCTCACAAAGTTATACCAGTCGATTTACATGTACTGAAAACTCATTTTGCTTGTAAATAAAATAATTATGTCTTTAAATAATCATTTAACTATTTCAACTGATAATATAGTATTATGACTACCAACTATACACATTATAGTTTATTTTGTTTGTTCGTTGAAACTTTTTATATATAAATAAAATGGTGTCATCCTGTGCCCAACATATCTAGTCAAACATAATGTTTTTGGGTTGTGACCCACCAAAATAGTATAAAGGCTACAAAATACCCCTTTTTCTTAGGAAACTACCTTTTTATAGAAAGATTCCAAAATTATGTAGTTTTACAAACATAACCTTATTACGACTATTATAACATAAAATAAATTTGTTCATGTAATTTTGCATTCTTTAAACAAATATCTTAAATATTTGTAAAATGGCTAGTCATTATGATATCTTGTGCATATAATGGCATATATTTCGACACTTAGGCAAAACATGCAAATATATTTATAATAAACAAAATTTTAACTTGTATCCCCCCTTGAAAACATAAAAATCTTGAAAAAATGGGGGTAAGAACTCACCTTGAGTGGATTTTGTGTGTAGTTTGAAGTGATGAGATGAAGATTTCGAGCCTAGGATCTTAGATGGAGATGATGAACTTTCTTGGAGATGTTAGTATCCTAAAGATTTAACACATGATAATGTGTGTGAGGATGGTAAAAACTATCATAAAAATGTATAAAACACTAGGGTATTACGAAATACTTACCCAAAAACCCGAGAATCACTTGAAGAAGGGGAGTTCTTGGAGACCTTGGCTCGTTTTTGAGAGAAAGAGATGAGGAATGAAAGAAAAAATGATCTTTTGGGGGTGAAGAGAGGCCTCTCGGCCGAAGGTATAAATAGGAGAAGGATGAGATGGTTTCCTTGTTATTTGTTGGTTATTTGCATGCCTTGCATGGAGACTTGGGGGTATTTGCATGCTTAGTATGGAGGTATGGTGGTTAAAAGGATGTAAAGGTGAGGTGTTAAATCTCTAGGTCAACACCTTCTTCTCCATTCCTCCACCACCATACTCACTGTTACTTCTCCTTTTTTAATCCGACAATGAACCCATTTCGCATTTCCATGTGAATACCCATAATTGCAAGTCTAAATTGTATCCACAAAACCCGAAATCTCTAGATCTGCACAACAAATTCAATGAGGTCATGTTTGTTTCCATTTCAATGCATTGAATCACGAAATTTCACAATGAAGTTATCATCTTGTTCTGGGATTTCTCCCACAGATTGAATCCATTTCGGAAATTTGAGGTATTGGGGGGAGAAATCAATGGCAGTCCATCATTGGATGTACGATCATCGAGTGTTGAGTGTTTAGGTTTATTGGTGGTACGACCTTCAGGTTACGGGAGTTCACAAAACGGAGGATTGGTATTACAACAACAAATGAATCAACCAATTCCACCCTCTAAGAAAACTTAGAAGATGTTTGTTAGTAAAGAGAAGGACAATGTGTTCCTTTGGATCTTTAAATTCGCTCCTCGAAAGAAGGTTGGAATGTTGCTCTTGTCTCTTGCTTCCTTCGCAGCTATGTTATGGATACTTTATATTGCCAAATGTCTGCTTTTCATTTCTCCCGAAATCAATATATAATAACAATACTGCTGTAACGCCAGCGTTTCTGGGCTACGCATTAGTATAATAATGTAATAGTCAAGATCAATCATTGTAACCTATTTTGAAGTAATAAAGATTAATTACTTGAATATTATGTAAATTATGTGATTTTATGTGCTTATATACTTGTCTATAAATATATAATAAATCAAGAATGAAAATAAGCGTCAAAAATAAAAATATAGATAAACCCGACATCTATGAAGAAAGTTGTAGTGGTCGTTACAATGATTCCGGAGATATAAAGAACGCCGAAATCCGAGTTATAACGAAGAAGTTATGGCTTGTCGAAGTTTCGCGACAGAACCGGCACGACACTGCGTGATGTAAATAGTGAATTTACGATAGAGCGATTTTTAGCCTTATAAATCTAAACGAAACTCGTAGTGTTCGTTAAACCGAGAGCATGCATAAAAAGAACGCCCAAATCTGACTTTGTATGAGGAAGTTATGATTTTTCTAAGTTTCGGCTTAGCAGTATGCAGCCCGGAGTTCGAATATTAGATAGAGCGATTTTTAGCCAACACAACCTAAACGAGAATCGAATATCTCGTTAATAGTAGTTTAACGGTAAAAAAGACAGACAAAAACGGACGTCGGATGAAGAAGTTATGAATTTTTAACGGACTATTCCTGTCCCGGCCTGTTAAAAATATAACTTCAAAAATAAAGTCAAGACAGAGTCTAAACGAAAGTTGTAGAGTATGGTCCCGCCTACACTGGATATAAAGAACGTCAAAAATGGAGCTCGTATGCGAAAGTTATGAAATTTTGAATTCGAGAGGGTGATCTGCGAAGGAACGCCCCGCGCACGCGCAAGCCTTGGCCTCGGAAGCTCCACGTCGCCCCAGTAGACTTCGGATATGTACCCACCGGAACGCGTTGCGTTCGCATGAACACGATGCGTTCCTCCGAGGAACGTGCTGTGTTCGACCCTCCGCCCAGCCTATAAATAGAGCTCGTTTCTTCTCATTTTTCCACACCAATTCACTCCAACTCTCTCCCAAACATCCCAAAACCCTCAAGGTTTTTACCTAGAACCTCCAAGGTGTTAGAAGCAAGTCCTGGAGCGCCCGAAGGCTCCGAGAAAAATATTTTTTTGGCTCATAATCTCTGCTCCAGCGGAGCCCGGTTTTTAGCAAAACCCGCTGTTAGTGAGATACGCCTACCCTACTTTAAATATAGCTTATATTTAAATATAATATCGTTATTATGAACCTATAAATAAGATTTATCAGTGATTCAAAGTCGTTATAATGATTGAACTACTTATGGGAGAGGTGTCTAGAATGGTCACGTTGGGTTTGGTTGTTGGATTTCAGAAAAGCTATATGCCGAAATGGTCCTGCCTCCCAACTGTCTTGCCTGGCTGATCCTTACTTAATAGATCATGAAGTAGACTTTGAGTTAATGATGAATCTAGAATAATAATTAGTCGCAATGAATATTAGACTAAAATCTAGTGGTAATGATACTAGGTTTCGTCGAAAGAAAATAAATTAATAGAAGCGGAGCGATGTCTGAGTTCGGAATCACCATCTTAACAAGTGAGTACATAGTTACTTTCATCTTACACATAGATATGAAGTATTTTATATAAATTACGTGCTATGTGTGCATATTGTCTGAATACTTGCGGCCTATGCTGGATGAAAGATTTTATACATCTTTTAAATGATTTAAACTGTATATGTATTTTATATCTACAAAATGTGTTGGGTAAAACATGGATAGATGTAATAGTTGGGTGTGATGAAATAAAATGATGAGAGACCTCGATGTTGACAATGTTTTCAGTCATCTAGTGGAGTATAGATGACGACCACGAACTTTTCTAGACAGTCCAGTGGAACGTTAGCAGGCTCGCAACTTGTAGGTGTTTGTGAACGATGTGTTCATCGGTGTACTTTATCCCCCTCATGGTTGCCTTTAGGACATTTATTGATGAGGAACCCCCTTAGCAGTAGTGTCTATCCCGATGTTGACCCGTAGGCTAGGTCCCTTATGATAGGTGTTTAGGGACGTAAAGTGAGGATAACGGGAACGGGTAATCGGGTTATTGTTGGTTGATGAAATTAATAAACTTATTTTATTGTGGGTTGAAAACCCTATGTGCTCACCAGACTCCCAAGCCTGACCCACTCAGTTTCTTGTATTACATGTAGTGGCACTCGAGCATAGATGTGATGTGTGGATGAGGGATTACGGATTATAGGCCTGTAGATATGAATAAATTTTGTAAGACTTATATTGTACTGTTTATGCTTTTGATCTGTATCGAACATGACATCCCGAGGTTTTTAATGAAATACATTTCTCTGGAAATGCTTTGATAAATATTTATTATATTTTCTTTTGGGAACAAATTCCACAACACTTTTATTTAAAATATTACTCTGATTTTTAAACAAAGCATAAACAAAATCGGTCTTTTCTGGCCGTGAAAATGGGGATGTCACAACTGCTCAATTTGATTGGTGTTGTAATACATCTTATTTGATTTGATTCCAACTTCATTTCCTAGTGTTCATTAGAAATTGTTCATCAATCAAATTGTTGTCTCCATTGTTTAGGGTTAAAACTTAAAATCATTAAGAGAAGTTGAATGCAAAAATCAAAACCCTCTCCATTGTTCTTCACTTCTTCCTATCAATATCTACACCTTTCAGTAATTTTGAAGCTATCATTATCTACTCTTTTTGATATTTAAACAATTTTACATGATTGCAACTCAAGTTATAGATTTTGAAAATCTTTTCATTCAAATCTATAACTGAAGAATTTAGAGATATAAAGTTGATAACTCTGTTAATTTTTTAATCAGTATTAGTTCCTCTTTGGGCCATTTTGAAGGTGAATTTAACAAGAACAATTCAACTGTAAGATTTTCTCAATATTCTTCATCAAATAGTGATCAAGAAAGAGTAACGGTGCTTAATTCTGCATTAGCCAATGATCAAATGAAGATTACAGTTAGACATGATGATAACATTGTTAACCACCACCCTCCTCCACTACCGCCCATCTCCGCCCACCCTCCTCCTCCACCACCGCCTATCATCGCCCACCCTCCTCCACCACCACCGCCTATCATCGCCCACCCTCCTCCACCACCTGTTTATATCAACTTGTCCAGTGGGTTACCTTCCGGTAGAAGAAGCCATTGCTTATATGCCAAAAGCACCATCTTTTTCACCTGTCCTTCAAAATTTAACTTTCCATCATGTTGAAAGTTTTACCAAAAGTGAATTTAGAGGATCAGATTTTGGTGGGTATCCTACTCTTTAAAACAAAGACACGACTCTTATGATGTAAAAGAATCAATGTCTGTGCATTGTGGGTATGATTCTTTTTCTCTAAAGAATTATGAATTGTTTTATTTGGTTCAGTTTTATCATATCACTAATCATTTTCTATTAATACATAATAAAGATTTGTGAGAGGAGATAGGCCTGGACGCAAGTCAGGATATGATATTGGTGATTCATATCTTCTTTTAATGGACATGTGTCATGGAGTCGTGGTTTCATCTGCAATATTTGGTATCCTTTTAGAACATTCCAATACACATTACACACACTCCGTGAATCATGAATAGTATGGTGATTATTTGAATTTTATACAGGGGCTTATGATTTGATTCAACAACCGATGAATATAAGTGAAACTGCAAAGCAAAATGTGTGCTTTTTTCATGTTTGTTGATGAAGAAACAGAAAAGTTTTTGAGGAATTCAGATCATTTGGATATAGCAAGAAGATTGGATTGTGGAGAGTTGTTGTTGTCTACAACCTCCCTTACACTGACCCAAGGCGCAATGGGAAGGTAAATAACATATATTTTTTATTCAGACATTGTACTTTGAAAAATCTACGTAGTTATAGCATTTTGTTTTTTTTTTACCGTTTTCCTTTATTAAAAAAAATATTTTTTAATAAAGTTAGGTTTGTGACAGGCTCCAAAACTTCTATCACATAGGCTTTTCCCAAATGCTAAGTACTCTATATGGTTGGATGGGAAACTTATGCTTATGGTTTACCCTTATCAAATCCATGAAAGGTAAGTGTTTTTATCTGTTAACTGATGAATTTAATACAGAAAGAACGAGTTGATAGAGAAATTCAGCAAAAGTCCATTTTTGTAAATTTGTTCAAATTTTAAACATGAATTATGTAAATTCAGGTTTTTGTGGAGGGAGAATGCTAGTTTTGCGATATCTAGACATTATAAACGGTTTGATGTGTTTCTAGAAGCTAAAGCTAATAAGGCTGCTCGGAAGTACAATAATGCCTCCATTGACTTTCAGACTGACTTTTATAAACGGGAAGACTTAACGTTGTATTAGAAGTGGTACGATGATTATATATATGATCATTTAGTGTCTAAAAAATCAGATTTTTGAAACTGATTATTGGAATAAGTTTTTTTTTTTATATATTTTTTTTATGACAGATGTGTTGTAATACGTGAACACATTCCAATTTCTAATCTTTTTACTTGTCTTTGGTTCAACGAAGTTGACCGGTTTACATCTCGAGATCAAATTAGTTTTTCCACGGTTCAAGACAAGATCCGGTCCAATACTAATTGGACCGTTAACATGTTTTGGGACTGTGAAAGGCGAAACTTTGTAGTTCAGGTATATATATATATATATATATATATATATATATATATATATATATATATATATATATATATATATATATATATATATATATATGGGAGCGTTCAATCGAGAACATTTCTTATTGCGAGAACATTTGAGAACAAATTTGGACCATATAATTTTTTTAATTAAAACTATAAAATAATATTCATAAAAATCAATCAATTGTTACAAACAATTAAAAAACCCACTAACCAAAACCACTCACCACCCATCACCACTACCTACCAACCTCCACCACCCGCCACCACCACACCCACCACCACCACCCACCACTCATCACTACCGACCACCATCACTCATCACCACCCCCACCCATCACCCACCAAAACCACCACCCGCCACAACCATCAACACCTACCTCCACCACCCATCACCACCGCCCCACCCACCTCAATCACCCATCACCACCACCCGCCACCACCATCCACCACTACCCATCACCACCACCACCTATCACCACCCACCAAAACCACCACTCGCCACGACTAGCACCCGCCACCACCATCACTACCCACTAACACCACCCCCACCAATCACCCACCAAAACCACTACCCGTCACCACCATCAACACCTACCTCCACCACCCATCACTACCACCCCCACCCACATCAATCACCCGCCACCACCACCCGCCACCACCACCAACCACCACCCTCCACCACCAACCACCACCACCACCACCTATCACCACCCATCACCACCATCTGTCACCACCACCTCCACCCACCACCCACCAAAACCACCACCCGCCACAACCAGCACCCGCCACCTCCATTACCACCACCCCTACCACCACCCGCCACCTCCACCCACCACCACCAACCACCACACCCACATCCATACAACACCACTCATCACTACCGACCACCACCACTCATCACCACCACCACCTCCACCCATCACCCACAAAAACCACCACCCCTCACCACTATTACCACCTACCTCCACCACCCATCACCACCTTCCTCACCCACCTTAATCACCCATCACCACCAACCACCACCACCTACCACCATTACCACCATTCGTCACCATCACTTCCACCCACCACCCACCAAAACTAGCACCCGCCACCACCATCACCACCCACCACCACCATCCATCACCACTGACCGCCACCACCCATCACCACCACCTGCCCCCATCACCCCCACCCACCAACCACCATCCACCCACCTCCACCACCCATCACTATCACCCACCCACTACCCACCATTATGACCACCACCTGTCATTACCACCAACCACCACCCACCACCCATCACCACCTATTACCACCACCACCACCTACCACCTACCACCACCAAACATCACTACACACCACCACCACCCATCACCACCACCTATGATTATGTGTATATAATCACATGTGATTGTTTGTATTTAATCACATATGATTTATGTGGACAATATTCTTTTTTGTTCATATAAATCATGTGATTAGATACATATAATCACATGTGATTAGATATATTTAATCAAATGTGATTGCAAATATTTAATCACATATGTCATTATTGCGTTCTAGATTTAATATTTATTTATTGTCAACTTTAATCATATGTGATTGGATACGTATAATCACATGTGAGTATATGTATCCAATCACATATGATTTACATGAACAATATTCATTTTTGATTTTTCGTTTCAATAATTTTTCTCATATATTTAATCACATGTGATTATAAGTATTTAATCACTTATGATTAATATGGACATAAATTTGTTTTAATGTTCTTGATTCAATATTTGTTCTCGTGTATATAATTACATGTGATTATATATATTTCATCACATGTGATTTATTGAATCAAGAACGTGAAAGCAAATCTTTTTCACATAAATTGTATGTGATTAAATACACGAGACCAACTACTGAATTAAAAACACAAAAATGAATATTGTCCACAAAAATCATATGTGATTAAATACATATAATCACATGTGATTATATGTACCTAATTACAAATGATTTATGTGGACAAGATTCATTATTTTTTTTCTCAATTCAATAGTTGTACTCATGTACTTAATCACATGTGATTATATGTATCAAATCACATATGATTAATATTGATAATATTCATTTTTGCATTTTTTATTCAACATTTTTTCTTATGTATTTAATCGTATGTGATTGTATGTATTTAATCACATATGATTAATGTGGAAAAAGAAAAACTATTGAATCAAAAACTCGAAAATGAATCGTGTGTACATAAATTATATGTGACTAAATGTATAAGAACAACTATTGAACGAGAATGCGAAAATGAATATTGTCCATATAAATCATATCTTATTAGATACATATAATCTCGTGTAATTAAATACATAAGAACAACTGAATCAAGAACGCGAAAATGAATATTTTCCATATAAATTCTATGTGATTAAATACATATAATCACATATGATTATATGCGTTTAATCACATATGATATATGTGGACAATATTTATCTTTGTGTTCTCGATTCAGTAGTTGTTCTTGTGTATATAATCATATGTGATTATATGTATCTAATCACATATGATTTATATAGACATCATTATTTTTTTGTCCATATAAATCATATGTGCTTAGATACATATAATCACATATGATTATATGTATTTAATCACATATGATTACAGTAGAAAAAGAACAATTATTGAATCGAGAATGTGACAATGAATCTCATCCACATAAATCATATATGATTGGATACATATAATCACATGTGATTGTATGTATTTAATCGGATATGATTTATGTAGACACTATTTATTTTTTCGATTTCGACTGAATAATTTCTTTTGAGTAATTAATCACATGTGATTATATGTATATAATCACATATGATTTGAGGTGGACAAGATTCATTTTTGCCTTCTCAAATCAATAGTTGTGCTCATGTACTTAATCACATACGATTATACATATAATCACATGTGATAAAATAAATGAGAACAACTATTGAATCGACAACGCAAAAATGAATTATGTCCACATAAATCATATGTGATTATATTCATATAATCACATGTGATTAATTTGGATAAAGATTTGTTTTCGTGTTCTTGGTTCAGTATTTGTTATCGTGTATATAATTACATGTGATTGTATGTATCTAATCATATATGATTTATATAGACAAGATTTGTTTTTTCCAAATAAAATGATATGTGATTACAAACATATAATCACATTTGATTAAATGTATTTAACCACATATGATTAAAGTGAAAAAAACAATTATTGAATCGAGAACGCGAAAATGAATCTTAACCACATAAATCATATGTGATTAGATACAAATAATCACATGTTATTAGGGTATCCGGGAACAATAACATAAAACAAGTAATGACTACATAATAGGAGAGTTAGTATAATTCACCTCCTTGAGCTTGAAAATTAGCTAGCATGAGCAAGTTGGATCATTTCCTTTCCGAGAACCTACACAAAAGTTATAACATTATTTAGCTTGTGTTTGTTGTATTAATCTTATAAAACTTATGTAAATATTTCCATATTTCCTTATTTCCTTCCCGAGAACCTACACAAAAGTTATAACATTATAACTCTCGTTCTAATGATTTTTGGTTTATTTTATATTAAATTTACAAGTTGGTAACTTTTAGCTGTCACTTTCTGGACCACTCAACACTATTGGAATAAACTGTATTAATCTACTAAGAATTACATTAGTCCCTTTATATGTTGGAAACTATACATCCATATCTAACTATAGGCTTTGGAATTTTGACATTTGGAGTTCTGATGAATTTATTATGATTTTTTGAAGACATTGCATGAAATATGTGACAGCATGGACCAGCCTGAGAAGATTGTCAATTTTACCCCTCAAGGAGTTGGAATTTCGAAATGTGATTCAAAGTTCGAAGAAAGTAGACAAACTAAAATTTCCAGAAAACCAAGTCTCTCATGATTTTTAGATGTTCGTATTGACTTTCACGGATTTTAGAAGTTGGAGGACAGATTTGAAAAAATTAATCATAATAGCTTCTAAATCACTTTTGGTGTTTTTATTAAGGAGTTAATGGTTAAGCCTTAAGTTTATCACTTTTAACATGATTGTTGGTTACTTATTAGGCTATAGAGATGTGAAATTCAATTTAACCTATGGGCGTTAATGCTTGTCTTAATGAGGGTTCAAAGTTAAGGATTTTCAAATAAAATGTCACTTTCATACTTATTAGGTTCTTTCAGACAATACGACAAACACCTTGTGTACATGAAATCCTACAGTGATCATCAATTCTCTAATAGACTCCAATCCAACCCCTATTTTACTAATTAAATGGTCTTTAAGGTTGATCAAAGAGTTTGACCATGAAATTAAAGAGGAGGAAAGTAAAAATCCTCCAGAAGTCAGCAAGAAACTCAATGATGAGAAGCAATCATTGATAACTTTATTTGATGTGTTTTTCAATATACAAAAAAAAAATTCTCATTTTACAAAACGATTATGTGTTTGCAGATCAAAGAGTTAAACTCATATGTGGCCTTGAGAAAGACGTAAGTAAAATAAGTAATGTTAACAACAAGGTATGTATTTGGATCTTAATAACAAGTATGTTTTTTTGTGACATTTTTTCAAACACCTGGTGGCCGCTATTTGTTTCACCAGGTGAGACACCAATTTCTTAAACATCAATATGATATGAACAAGGAATGATACAATGACAGATGATATGCAAGTGCCATAGCCCAAATCCTATTACCAAATAAATCAAATGAATAATATCTTTCTCGAACTAAAAAAATATATGAAATTTCGAAAAAAAGAGATGAAGATGAAGATACCAAGAGAATGTGTTATAAATCAACAAACGAAATTTGAAATACCCCATTATTGATGAAACGAGATGACCTTGAACTTGATAATAGCGGAGAAGTGAATTGCTCATCGGGAACACACAATCGCCTCTGCGCAAACCGTCAACGTGCAAATTAGCTAAAGTTAAGATTTAGTTAGGTATTTATCTTTCTCCATGGGATCAATGATGATCCATATGATTTGCGAGCGATTGCAGGTGGTGCAATTTACAGTACAACCACAAAGGATTATCCCATGTCTAGAAACGAAATTAAACGAATGAAATCAGCCACACCTGGATCTGAAGTTGTTGACGTGCCGTCTGAATCTCCAAAGCCGGTGGTGCTCGTCGATTCTCAGGAGGTTGGGATACGATCGGCTCACATGTTGATGTGTGGAGCCAGTGCAAGACAACACAAATTACCTAACAACCACTAGTGAAACAAGATAAGATGCAAAATTACTACCTACCCTGAACGAATAAACATAAGACGCCCATGCTTTAATGAATTTGATTGGCTGAAATTTGTTCTCATTTGTTCTCAATTTAAAAAATGTTCTCATTTGAACATACATCTATATATATATATATATATATATATATATATATATATATATATATATATATATATATATATATATATGATATGCTTTGTGTTTCTTGAATCCAAGCGTTGACTTCTCAAGTCAAACCAGTTCGTTTTTAAAACGCGACATTGATATGGATTTTGTTTCAAAATTGGCATTTAACATGTTACCTTTTCAATAATTTCTTATTAATTTTAATTTAGCCGATGAATTTCTTTCAAAAACTTGAAAAAACCATTAAAAATTGAATCTTGAAATCAATTTTGTTGACTCATGGCGCAGGGATACCATCGAGATGTTTTGGAGCATTGGGCGCCACCCCCAACACCACCACGACTTTCTGGTGTACCGGTCATTTTCAATATTACTGATAATAAACCACAAAAAAGATCGACCGAAAACATTGTAAGTAATCCGAGAAAAACACCGTCGACAAAACGCCAGAAAGAGAAAATATCAAGTTCGAGGCTGTTGGAAAATTGGTGTTAACCAATTTATAAAAAAGAGTTTTTCCCATTTTTTAACACGTCGAAAATGGATTTAATATGAATGAGAAATTAATTCTTAAAGTAAGGGTGTTGGAAGAAGTAAATAAGAGAGTTTAATGGGTGAGAGAAAGAAAAGAAAAGTTCAGGGACCTTTCTTGCAA